CAGGCAAGGGCAGTTCCCAACATTGGAACATTTAAAGTTGCCCCAAAGGTTCCTAAGTCTTTCTTCTTCTTCTTCTTCTTCTTCTTCTTCTTCTTCTTCTTCTTCTTCTTCTTCTTCTTCTTCTCCTTCTCCTTCTCCTTCTCCTTCTCCTTCTCCTTCTCCTTCTTCTTCTTTCTTCTTCTTTTTCTTCTTCTTCTTCTTCTTCTTCTTCTTCTTCTTCTTCTTCTTCTTCTTCTTCATTTGTTTCTTCTTCTCTGTTCTGGTCAAATGTTTATTTCCTCCTTCTGGTCCAAACTGTTGATTTGATTCTCAGTTTCCTTCCTGTCACTGTTGGTTCCCTGTGTATTTTCCTTTATTTCACTTTTCATAGCCTTCCCTTTTTCCTCCATTTTGTGACCATACTCAACCATTTCTGTGAGCATCCTAATTACCAGTGTTTTGAACTCTGCATCTGATAGGTTGGATATCTCTTCATCATTTAGTTCTATTTTTGAAGCTTTGATCTGTTCTTCCATTAGAGTCATATTTTTTGTCTTGGCATGCCTGTTATGTAGTAACAGGTAGAGACATGGGTATTCACCAGAGTGTGGTGATCCAGGTTACTGTGTTGTGACAATGTATGTGGGGAAGGGGTCCAAGAGGGAACAATGCCACTTGCTTGCCTCTCAGCTAGCTTTCAGTCACTTCCCCCACTACCCACAAGCAAATTGGGTCCTTGTGTTTCTGATCCCAGGTGAGTGGGTTTCTGTATGTTCTAAGAACCTGTGGGTCTCTCCAAGGAACTCTTCTATGAGGCTGGGAGCTTCTCTCATTACTGCAACCCCCATGGGTTTTTACTGCCAGAGGTTTTGAGGTTTTATTTCCCTGCACTGAAACCCTGGGTTGTGTGGTCTGTCTCACTGCCCACTTGTTCTTCCCAGTTATCTGTATGCAAATGTGGGACCACTCACTCCACCAGCTTCTGCCTTGACTGCCCGGTCCTCCAACCATAGCCTTGCCATGTGTCCATTCTACCCTGGCTGCCCATCTCTGTCCTTCCTACCTATCTGAATGAATATTTCTTCTTTAACTCCTTGGTTGTTGAACTGCTATACAGTTCAATTTTCTGGCAGTTCTGTTATTTTTTGTTTTTAAATTGGTTGTTGTCCTTCTTTTGTTTGTGTGAAGAGGCAATGTGTGTCTACCTATGCCTCCATCTTGGCCAGAAGTCCACTTAATTTTCCTGAATTTGTTGAGGCTTATTTTGTGTCCTATCATGTGATATATCTTTGGAAATGTTCCATGTGCATTTGAAAAGAATATGTATTTTGCTTCTTTGGGATGAAAGGTTCTATATATGTCATTTAAATCCATTTGATCTAAGACATTGTTCAATGCCACAATATCCTTGTTGATTGTTTATTTGGAAGATCTATCCTTTTTTGACAGTGGGGTGCTAAAATCCCCTAGTATAAGTGTGTTGCTGTTTATCTTTATTGAAGTCCTCCAAGATTTTCCTTATATTTTGGTTGCTCCTATGTTAGGTGCATATATGTTTATAATGTTTATGTTTTCTTGATAGATTCTTCCCTGTAGGATTATGAAGTGTCCTTCTCTGTCTCTTTTTATGGCCTTTGGTTTGAAGTCTATTTTGTCTGACATAAGTATTGCTACCCTGGCTTTTTTTCCTGTCCGCTTGCTTGGAATATTTTTTTCAAACCTTTCACTTTCAGTTTGTGCAAGTCTTTTGTTCTGAGGTGGGTCTCTTGTAGGCAGTGTACGTATGGGTTCTATTTTTGTATCCATTTAGCTACCCAATGCTTTTTAGTTGGAGTATTTCATCCATTTACATTTAAGGTTATTACCAATAGGTACTTATTCATTTATCACCTTTGTACTTGTGTTCCTCTCTGTCTGACTCTTTTTCTTCATCTCCTTAAAGCAGTCCCTTTTGCATATCTTGCAGTGCTGGTTTGGTGGAGGTGTATTGTTTTAGCCTTCTTTTTCTATCCTTTTGTCTGGGAAACTCATTATATTGCCTTCCATTTTAAGTGAGACTCTTGCTGGATAGAGTAGTCTCAGTTACAGGCCTTTGGTTTTCATTACTTGGAATATTTCCCTTGGCATTCCCTTCTGGCTTGAAGCATTTCCATTGAGAAGTCAGCTGCTAGCCTTATCGGGGCTCCCTTTTATGTTACTTCTTATTTCTGTCTTGCTGCCCTTAAGATTCTCTCTGTCCTTGAATTTTGCTGTTTTAATTATGATGTGTCTTGAAGTAGAACTCCTTGGGTCCCTTTTGTTTGGAACCCTCTGTGCTTCCTGGATTTGAGTGGCTTTTTCTCTCATCAAATTAGGGAAGTTTTCCATCATTACTTTTTCAAACAGGTTTTCTATCCATTGCCCCTCTTCTCCTCCTTCTGGTATCCCTGTTATATGAATATTATTATGTTTCATGTTTTCCTGCAGCTCCCTTAATCCCTCTTTGTTCTTTCTGAGCATTTTTTCCTTTTCTTGCTCTTTCTGGGAATTTCTTTCTACCTTGTCCTCTAGCTCACTGATTTGATCCTCTGCTTCATAGAGCCTGCTTTTGATTCCTTCTATTGAGTTCTTCGATTTAGAAATTGTGTCCTTCACTTCTTCTTAGCTCTTGTTGATACTTTCTATATCCTTTTTCATGTTGATATAGTTTGTAGTAAGTCCTCATAGTTTCCCTGTAGTTTTTGGTAATTCACACTGAGCTCATTGAGCATCCTTATAACCATTGTTTTGAATTCAGTATCTGATAGTTGACTTGCCTCTATTTCATTTAGCATTTTTCTGAGGATTCCTCCATTTCTTTCTATTGGGGATTATTTATTTATCTTCCCATTATTTGTGAGACTCTTCTTGTTTGCTTCTGCTTCTTAAATTGATCTATTTTTTCTTCCTAATTTTGTGGTGTGAACTTCTATGGTAAGAGACCTGTGAGATTCAGTGGTAGTCTCTTTGATCTCCTGAACTTCATGCTCTTGGGATGCCCTTTATGCCATTTATGTTGGTTCTCTGGATGTAACTGGTTTTTTATTGTTGTTGAGTCTTTATTTGGTGGGTCTTTCCCTCCAGCTTGTTGACTGAGGGTCACTCAACCCACCATGTCTTGTATGCTGTTGTAAAGGCACTGCCAGAACAAAAACACAAAGCCCAGGAAACAAATTCACAACTGCAAAAATAACTCCCCTCTGCATTGGCAGTATCAATAGCAAAGGAACCAGTATTCATAAGGGTATAAAGCATTTAAGCTTATGATAAGAAAGCAGAGAAGTAAACTATAGTATAAAATTTAGTGACTTAATATGCACAAACTTGTTGGATAAGAAATGAATGTTAAAAACCTTTGCAGGAAAGAAAATATCGCTAATCTTGGAGAAGACCATAGTTGATTTCAACTCAGTAGCCTCTAATATTTACCACTGTTTTTTCTTTCTGGATCTGCTTCTGGTGATGTCAGATATTGACCCAGGGATGTACAGTCTGTGGCTGTCTTTTTCAGTTGTTTATCTAATCACTCTGAACTCAGCTGTCAGGCTTTAGCCCCATAGGGCAGGGCAGAATCCCTCCTGGGATTGGAGCTATTGTTTCCCCTCAGGCTATTGCTGCTCAGAGAGGAGAGGTCCACCTGAACAGGATGGCTGCTGCATATGTGGGATGACTCAGACCCAGGATCCTGGAGCTGCTCTTTCAGTTCTCTCCCCAGAGCTTCCATCCTCAGTCTCTCCTCTGGTGTCTCTAATCCACTCTGTCCCCACCTTTGCTGGAGCCCAGGGTAAGTGGCAGCAAATGAAAATTTATGTGTTGGCCCCTTAAAACAGTTCTTCATATCTCTAGCCATCCTTCTGTGGCAGAGAGCAACCCTGTCACTTTTCACCAGAAGTTGTTATCTGTGTATTTTTGGGAGCTCTGATACTTTGGGTTGTGGATCCCAGTTAAGGTTTAGACCCCACACTTCTCAGGGGGACCCAATCATTTGCTTAATTATTCCTCCAGCACTCGTGCCTGTGGGTGCACAGCCAGCCCTCTAGAGTCTCCACTATACACTTACTAGTTAGGTTGTGCTAAAGATGATTCTTCTGTCTGTTCGAGGTTATAAGGCTTCTCTCTCAGTATTGTTCAGTTATTTCCTCTGTGTGATTTCTTCACAATTTAGTTTTGATCCCAGATTGTTCCTGGGAGGAGGTTAGTGTGGCTTCCATTCACTCCTCCACCATCTTGCTGATCTCTCTTTTTATGAGTCTTAACACTTATGTAAAAAACTACTGTTTTATAAATTTAAAAACTTAAAGTGAAAAATATTTTGTTATAGAAATGAATTTACAATATATACATTTTATGTAAATTTGGGAAGTTTAACACAAGATTGCTTTAGGCTAAAATTAGATTGTTAAGACAATTTTATATAGGGGAAAATGACATGATTCCAAAAATAAACTTCAGAAGTCAAACATTTCAATTTTATTCAAATGCAACTGAAACCATGCAAAAGAAAAAATACATTATAAGAAATAATTTGCTATAGTTAATATGTTTGTGACATAAACTTTTATAAAGTACTAAGACTTTATAAAGTTTTAAGTCTTGAAGAGAAAGAAAAGTATATAAGTGACCATGTATAAAATTGCAGAGGATTTTGCTATAGAAGATTTAGATTTGGTAAAATATAGAAGCCAAGTGTATTGTACTTCATGTCAAAACCAAAGCCAGTTTAAAGAAAAAATGTCCCTCTCTAAAAAAAACAAAGATGATGAGTTCTAGCCCTTATTCTTGAACTACATGGAAATTTCCTAAGTTCCCTACTAGTATTTTTAAATATATTTTAATACTTTATTTAGATTGAATAGATTAGATGCTAAGGCTACCTTGTTAATCTTATACCTATGCATGATGTTCTTCTCAGCAAGAATTATATTTCTTGGAAGACAAAATATTAAAGGATTATGGAATATTATTCCTGCCAATTAATTCTTAGTTCTTTTCTTTTATTTCAGCACCTTCCCTGATAGGTATGGTGAGGAAGGACTGGGCATCCCAAAATAGCATTGCTCTATCATGGCAAGCACCTGCTTTTTCCAGTGGAGCCATACTAGACTACGAGATCAAGTACTACGAGAAAGTAGGTCTTATTTGGAGCTTCCTAAAAAGTTACATATACATACATATGAATATATGTATATACTGAGCATGTTATTATTCTATGTTATCTTACCTTAAAACCCATTCTTTGGCCTAACCTCATACCTACTATGTCTTTGAGTACTCTCTGATTTACTATTGTGCATATAATTTCTTAATTAATTTGTCTTGTTTTACATCAGATTAACACAGCAGATATAAAATGTTTAGTTCTGTCATGACTAGCTCTAGGAGTTTTATAGTATAATAAGAAGTAGTAACTTCTGCAATTTAGAGTTTTGTTGATATAACATTGTTTCTAAATTCACTTGGGAAGAAATGGTGGAATGGAATTACTATAACCTAAAAAGAGTTTGTGTGGTCATATTCTTTGCCAATGAATTCAAAGTTACAGTCCACTATAACTTACAAGGATGACTAAGTGAATAAATAGAAAAAGCTGATCATTTAAAATTTTTCTCTACATTTGTGTCAGCAGTTTTATTTATAAGAAGCTAGCAAGATAAATCTGGTTAATAAATCAACTGCTAACCTTAATTTCCATTTTTGCCATTTAAAAATGTTCTCAATTATATTTCCATGAATTTTATACTTACTTTTATAGTTTTCACACTCTTTCTTTATGCTCCCCCTCATTATTCCTTATGATAGTGCTGCTACAGATATTACAGCAAACCACATATTCAAATTTGACAGTCTCATTGTGCTAATGCTATTCCAGAATATTCATAAAGGGAACATTAAATTTAAAAATTAAATGTAAAAATTATATATCATATTCAATGGTATACTACAATAAGAAAGAACTTCTTGAATTTCTATAACTTACCAGAAGCAAAGAAATATCATAAATAAATTAAGGTCTTCTCTGAAGAAATATAGGAGCAAAAGAAGAAACAAGTATTTTTCTATTCTATTGCTTCTGAGCAAGTATAAGTATGAAAAAGGGAGTAACTCAGAAGAATGGCTGAATCCATTTTGACATTCTAGTAATTCCAGCATTACATGGTCAATGAAAACTGTCATTATTGTTAATTAACATGGATAAATTCATAGTGTAAGACAGGAGGAATTTATTGAGTTTAAATTGGATTATAGATTCTGCACATTAGGCAGGCCAGCATGTGTTTAGAAGTCTTGTTGCTCTATCCTTTCAAATGTTACTACCTGTAGTTGTCACAACAATACACATGTATTCTGTTCTCTAATTTAATAGATCTTCATCTATTCACAAATTCTGATTATTTAAAAAGCAATTCACACATACATATAAGCAACTTCCAAAGGATGAAAATATTTCTCTGTGTTTTATAAAGGTTATACTTCCTACACAGCAAATCACTCTTATTTTATAGTCATATCTACATCATGTTTGAGTATGAAGATAACTCGCAATATTTCCAAATAAGGACAAATTATACAGAGTCTATAGAAAGGGAACCACATTCATCTGATCAAAATTTTAGAAATCAGTAAGTAAAATTTGAAAGATGGTAATTGACATAACATTCATGTTTTCATTATAGAATAAATTATATTTTAAAGAAGTTTATTTTATAAGAGAATGGCAGTGATTAATGCTAATGGATTAAACATAGAATTGGAAGTCAAAGATTTCTGATTCATGTTTTGACTCTTGTTATGTTTATGACCAAGAAAAAGTCAGTTAATTTCCCTCTGTCTCAGACTTTGTACTTAGAAAATGGAAATGAAGATATCAACCCTTCTAGTACATTGTAAAAGTTAATTATAAACATACTTGAAGATGAAAAGCACACTAAATCAGTATTAAATATTATTTAAGTGAGCATTAGGGAAATGTTAGCATATAATCTAATATAAAATCAGAACACAATAGCATGGGAATTGTGTACAAGTTATGATAATAACTTTTTAGTTATAATAATAACTAAAACTTATTATCTTTTATACATAAATACATAATGTACAGGTAACCAAAGATGTTAGAATATAAACCTTTCAGAGAGAGCATAAATGACTGACAGCATTAAAACTTTTCCCAACTATGACTTTAAATTCTAACCATACATTTTAGATATCAGCATTTATAACACAGTTTCTTTCAAAAAAATATTTTTATAAAGCTTATAAGTAGGGCAAATTACAATAGCACTCTTAGTTATAAATAATTTCCTTCTTTATTAAGAACCTAAATATTGTTCAATAAGGAAAGCAGAGTTTATTCTTGTATTATTATTTATTAATTATTGTATTCTTTTTCCATAAGAACAACTATAAACCTGATTTTGTCCCACCCTGTATATGCAAATGATCCCATTTTTGGAACACAGATATTCTTCCATATGTGTATATTTGTATACAATTATATGAGTATAAGGAATTATAAAATTTCTTTAGTAATAGGGTGTACATGATATGCTCTTTCATGATATGCTCCGCTTATTGGGGTGGAGTAGGATGCAGAATGAAGGTGAGCAAAGAAAGATAGAGGAAAGTAGCAGTATAGATAAGTATGAATGGATGGTTTAATGGATAGATCCTAAATAGCTTTGATAGTTGTCTTAGATGGAGTTACCTAAAAGTAGACCCTGAGACAGCAATTTGCATACAAGTGACTAAGATAACTCCCAAGAGAACTGCTAAGAGAATGGAGGCAGCAGGACTGGGAAGGAAGATGCCAATCAAACGCAGAGTGACTAAGGGGAGCTCTGCAATCTAAATTACATCTCAGAGTTCATACTACGGAAACAGAGAAGCTGAGCTTACATACTCTGATTCCAATCAATCATTGGCGACAGGCCTTAATGGAGATGTACAATATATGCGGAGAAAAATCATAGGCACTCCCAGCCCTCTGTAGTGGCTTCTGTAGCCCAAATTTAGGTCTCTAAAGAAGGTGGCACTTACAAGGAAGATTAAGTAAAGGTAATCCAACAGGATCTGCTGGCCCACCAACTATCAGCTAAGGTACCTCAATGCTCAGGGAACTATATGAGTCTTAATTCTCAGCTCATTATGATATTCACATTCTACTCAGTTTTTAATATTGGTGCTTTAGTCTTCAATTTACATTACATAAACCTTCCATTTCCTTTTATTCAAAGTTCCACTGTAGTGCTAACCCATAATCAGTCCACAAATAATCAATATTTATGCCATTCTCTGAGGAATTTATGTTGTTTTATTAAGTTCTCATTGTGTTAAGAACATTATTCTGTAAATCAGAAAATAAGTTAATGTGTTTAGAATGTCAATTGTCTATAAATATCTGAGGTCAAGCATATTATTGTTACTAGTGACTTTTGCTCAGAGAATACATAATATTATAAAAAAAGCACTGGTCTGGGTGTTCAAAAATTTGAGTTTGGTGAAATCTTAACTTTTTTAGTCCTGTTTTCTCATCAATAAAATCAAGGCCCAGAAAGATAAACTCTTATAGTTCTAGCTGTGTCCAAATGCTAATATGTTTCTGTCTGTACTGTCATGTAGATAAGTAAATTATCGAATCTCTCAAATAACTGTGTTTTTCATTTATGTCTACTGAAATTAAATGCCTAAACACACATATTTTAAAAATACTTTATCACAGGAAACAGTGTTCTTCCCATCAGAGTTAAATATAAAAGGTAAGACCCCGCTGTCATGTTATTCTGTGTATGTACATGTATGTTGAGGGATATAGAGAAAAAAACCTATTGCTTTCATCATAACTAATTAGATATTCTCCAGTCAGTTCATTATATGCTCCCAATTCTTAGATATTTTTCTCTTTTCATACTCAAAAAGTGTGTCATTTTTTAAACTCAAATATAGTTTGAGTATGAATGGACCTAAATTAATAAAAAAAAGCCAAATATAAGTTGCCAAAAAATTTTCTACTTTATATTTACATACTATGTTTTTCTCCAAAAACAGGGCCTACTAGTAATGAGGGTATGATTTTAAAAACTAAAAGCAATTTAGGTGATACAAACTTTATTTAACAATTCACAAAACAGATGGTCTCCTTTTGGAAAACTGCGAAATGTGCAGAAGAAAGCTTTTATAGGATCAACACCAAAGAACAAGGGAGAGAAAAACCGAAAACATTTCATTGGCTGGGGCCACATAATAAACCTTGTTTGGGATGAGAAGTAACAAGAAAGTATAGAGCCCAGAGCTGGCTTGGCTTTCAGGGATTGGCTGACCGGATAAGCTGTGGTTTGGGTCAGGCAGAGCATTTTTTACCAGGACATGAGAGTTGTCTAAGTTTGGTTTGATGACATGGGAGGCACGTCTCCACCTTGGGCCTAGAAAGGTATTTTAACAGAACTAAGACATCTGCTCTCAACCCTTCAGTCTCCACCTTCAAAATGTTGTAAACCCTATTACAGTTACAACATATCAAAAATTTGCTCTGGCTGGTGTGGCTCAGTGGATTGCACATGGGTCTGTGAATCAAAAGGTTGCTAGTAGGATTCCCAGTCATGTCACATGCCTGAGTTGTGCTCCAGGTTCCCAGCAGGGGGCGTGTAAGAGGCAACCACACAATGATGTTTCTCTCCCTCTCTTTCTCTCTCCCTTCCCCTCTCTAAAAATAAGTAAATAAAATTTTTTTAAAAAATCAAAAAGTCCACTGAATATCAAACATAGCCTTCCCTTATTTCTACTCTCCCCAGCTCTTTACCCCTTTTTTTCCACATTCTGAATTTTTGCTCTCCTTTTTTCCCCCCTGCCCATGGCACTCCTCTTGCTTCTTTGTTCCTTTTTTTATATTTATATTTCTCAAAATAACCTTAATTAGAGTCATTTATTTATGCATCTTACTCCACTATTGTAGGAGCCCTAAAGAATGGAGATCATTTTTTGTTGCCTTTGTCACCCAACTGCAATCATTGCCTAACACAGCTGTTTGCTTTCAAGAGAAATTAGTAAAGTTCCTCTTTTTGTTAAGAACTCATTCACAGGAAATTGACAAAAGTCACCAGCCACTGTGAAGTTACCCCCAGAAGAAAGAAA